GTATTTTATAATCAATCAATGCCATAATAACCCATTGGTTAAGTGCTCTACGCGATATGTAATCTAGTATTCTTACGATGACGTAGAAAACTTGTCACAGGATTATAATTCTGGACAACATGTGTGCGGGCGTTTTAGCATAGGGCACCTCCATAAAAAAACGGCGAAACTTCAATAATCAATTCATGACCATCGAGATAAACAGCACTGAGATATGCATACAAACGATATCACCTTATTTAGGTAAAAACAGAAGGGAAGAATATAATCCCCCTTCAACTAGTAGCTAAGCATGTAGAAAAACACGGCGAATATTTATAGTACGATATATGCATTGCTTAGTATGCTTAATCGGGCCGTACGTTTGGCTCACTACGTAACGGATAATCACTGATTTATATACATGCACGGAAATGTCATAACGTGTTCAGTAAGTTGTTTATCGACGAGACCGTTTTCAATACTGCTGAATCGGTCAATCTTCGCCAATATGTCGAATATGTCAATGATACCTATTAGATGCTATCAAAGTTTCCACTACTTGCGAAAACATGCATAGTTCAGGAACCTTTTGTCCAGATGTTCATCGGTACGAGATTCTGCTCCTAGGAGCAGCCATGATTTGTTTAAATAGTTATATTACAACTAAACTTAAATACATTCGCATCAAATATATATCGGACGCCCAGGACGAGCGTACGCGTTCTATGAGTGAAGACAAAGCCAGCCAAGCTGTTACCGGAAACAGCAGGAAGATAGCTACGAAGGTAGTCGAGTAATTTCAGGTCGTTTCGTTGAAAGTAGGGATATGCGAGCCAGCGAATTCGTATAGACACGGAAGCATCGATACACAAATATGTGTTTAATTTGTAAACAATAAAAAAGTATGAACTTCAACTGACTGTTCCGGTAGCCTTCACCGTTGTTATGATCACTAACAGCACGGTCGTTTTCTCGAATTCGTATCTCAACGCAGGCGAATCTGACGTGCGCAGGTTATGTCCTTCATGCGTCTATCTAATTTTTTTTATCTTCAACGCATCCTGGAGAAACGAGAACGGTTGTACCGCTCTTGGCGAATGGGGCCCTTCGACGTCGAGGCCCGAAAGCGGAAAAATGCACGCAAAATGAAGGCAGATAGAAAATGCCGGAGACAGAAGAAGACGATATTGCGCACAGATCCTGTGTAGCATTTTGCGAAGAATTGTTTCGTACTCACCTGGTTTTATAGAAGCTCCGCTGTTTGCCTCGTTAGCTTACTATCGCAAGCGAGCTCCGCTTACGGAATGAGCACACGATGCACAACGGGCCCGTCGTGGACTACATATTATAAAATACAGTTTGCGGAACAACTGCGTAAGGCAGGCCTGGGGCAGAGCCTGCAGCACGTCCTATCGGTGTCACTATAGTTGCCGCTCATTGCGAATACATACAATTGTTTTGATGTTTAGCCAGCTTGCCTACCGTCTTGCCGTTATTAGTGTGCCAGCGGCGGTTTTTATGACTCCATGCACAAAAAGAATCCCTAGCTACTAGAGCAACAATAGATAACGCAGCTTATTTGCCTTATGCTGTGATATGTCGCTGGGAATGAACGACGAAGACGATCCGGTCCAAGATACGGAGTTGGACTAAGCAGGCTTAACATCACGAGACCAACGAGGGAGCCTCAACGACGAGGGGGTCGATGTGAATGCCAGGGTGAAGCAATTGCAAAAATGATTTTCTAAAGAAAGCAAATGAACCCCGCTGATTACACTGCTGTATAACTTTAACATCTCTATCCAGGCGGCGGTAAACTGGATTTAATTCAGTCTCGTGGATTCGTTGACTAGTGGAATGGGTAAGTAGGGGACGGTGTTGAATGAAGAGCTGCCTCGTAAGCGGCAGCGTACTACTTCTTTCTTGGTTAAAATAAACATGTTATGGAAGTTTCTGTATCACGGACAGGCATCTGAAAGATGGTGACTCGCTAGAACAATTGAATCTGCAACGGGTACTTTTTTGTTTCAAGCAGACAAATCAAACGATGACACTGAGTTTTTCACTCAGGAAACTTTCAGGTATCAACAAACAGTTACGGTGCAACGTAGAATCGAATATACATCTATATTGTTCTTGGAAATCCATGCATGTCAGCTTGCAAATGCTTTACGATCGTATTTGAATGAATGTTTTATAATATGGAAGATATCCTAACTGAGACCGTAGCTGGTTCAGGTACCTATCCAACCGTCCGATTCTACATGTTGTTGCATAGCAAATAATTCCATACTAGTACTGCGATTCCTTATCTCTCCCTATCTGAGCTAGTATTAAGGTTTTCAGAGCACCAAAATTCGTATATTTTATACCGGAGAAAAGGCGTCTGAAAGGATCGTTCACTGTCTTGAGACAGCTCCGCTTTTTTCATTTTCTCTTGTTAAATTGCACCGGCTCTGTCTGATCTCACTATATATATATATATATATATATATATATATATATATATGGCCCTACGGCAGCACCGAATCATTGTTCGTTACGGAACGTACCTATGACTAACTTGCCAAAAACGGCTGCTGCTTAATCTTGTTATGGATCAAATTGTATCAGGTGGAAATGACATGCTGTGTCATGGGCGTCGTAAGTTAACGAGGCGAACTGATGAGGTTAAGTTGAGCTATCGTATCAGGCGACAGCAAATGAAGTTTCGTTCGACGACACAGTACGATTTAGATTCTCTGCCGTAGAAGTCAGTATATAGCGCGTATTTCCTAATAATGTCTTTAGCCTATAAAGGTTCTTCAGTATACCTGAGGTGGCTGAGTTAAATAAAAACGTAAATAAATATATTTCTTTTCTTTCTGAGACGTATCCTACGTCTCGCGTTTCAGATTCGTAACCGCTCGGAAACAAACAGCATCCCGACTATATATTATTGCAAAACAACAAATGCTTGCTTGCTTGGTCTCTTAGAATCATATGAGCTACTAACACTAATAAAGATTTCGCTGGATAATGCAAACTTAATTGTGACAACAAACGGTGATATGTATCAAAATATATAGGTTCGCGTTAAGATAAGCACAACTATAAATTGTTCTTCGACAAAGTTGAAGCCACTGATTGAAGATTTAGCTGCTTGTTGAAGCTCTGAAATGTTCGCCTTGCTCTCGCCTTCACACTAGAAAAGTGAATAAAAGAACGCTGTTTACTTCATTGGATTTTACGTCGCTGTTAGATGCGTCATACAGATCTTTGAACCCACAGCTATCACGTCTTAACAATATACGGAATGTTTCAGCGTCTCTGTACAATATGAATTCGTTAGCTATACTTTATATGGTACACATAAACCAAATGTTAACAAACGAAAGCGTTATCCTTCTCTACCACAGTGACGAGCTATTTGGGTATTTTGTTCCCAATTTCCTTTGCTGAACCGTGTAGTTGTGCTACATATCGCTATTATAATAATGAAGAGTCCAATGTTTGTGTAACAGCTCGGTCGACGCCATTTTAGCTTTGTTCTCAACGAAATTTTAGGTGTCTGCCCCGGTCCTCGTGCCAGTTCGGACACAGCTCAGTCTCCTTAGAAACTATGGTGATTATGTATGGTATGATTAGAGACTCGTACATTATAAACAGGAGCGCACTTACACATACTACTTAGTATACTATTTTCTCCGCTATAACTCATAGCAGAATATGTTTGGGTCATAGTGTCCTCGACCTTCACTCGACCTTGCTGTCCTTTGTTTTCCTTAGCTTTCACATGGCCAATGATGTTTTTTTAGAAGTTAATCCATGCCTGTCCACAATGTGCTTTCACCATTCCCGACAGAGATTCATCAGTGGTGGCCATGGCAACGTCCCGGCTCTCGTTGCTCAATGGCTCGGAATGCCCAAGCGAGGATGGGGGCTCTTTATAGGTGGGAAAACAATCTGGCGCCTTGCGTCCTGAATTGGTTTGTAGCATAGTACGACTCAAAAAAGGCGTATCCTCTCGCCTGCTGCAGTTATTGTTCATTGATCGAAAGAAGAATTGATTTATCTCAGCTTCTTCGTCTTTTTCAAGTGACCGGATGGGCACCGAAAAAGCTGGCTGGTAAAAAGAGAAACGATAGCGGTCTAGATTGCTTTGCTGTTTAATTTTTAAAAAAACAAAATGATTTTCCGAAATTCCAAATTGAGCAAGAATCTATGTGTCTGGAAAATAAAATTTCACTTTAGTAAACAAAAACGTATGATTTTCTTTCGAAGCATGCATAATAGATTCCTGCTATATGTTGCTCGTCTAATCGATTTACGATCCCTAAGTCGATTGAACAGGGTAACTCTCGTTAATATGCAGCATAATGCATTTGATTTTCCGTGTTCCGTCACAAATTATAGATCCTATGCCAAAAGCATAAATAAAACAAAATCAATGCATAAAAATCTAGTTCCAATGATGCAGAAACCGCTCAAGCGTTTGAAGGCGTTCCCGAATCACGCGTGTATAAGATTAAGACACCCATTTTCTGAAATTTCTTACTCAACCACTATATGTATATATAGCCTAACTTTGTGAGTTGTTTATGATATGAATAAGTTATTTGCGTACCTCGGTATACACTTACATAATGCTGTATCGTGGATAGATCTTCTGTATGATACAGTATTTGCCATCGGCGATGACTTGCATAAACTCAATTGGCCACAAGCGATCAGTATTCGGTCATACAATATGTAGTAAATCACTTTATAATGTGTTCCTTTACGAACAGGGGAAACACGCTATCGATGAGGTAGTCAAGGGGCACATGCTGATATGAATCATCATATGTTATTTTCCCTCACATAGTCGTCGTAATGTAACAACTCAAGAGGCCAGCATGACCCTTGTTGTTCTGACATCGCGCCTAATTATAATTCGCGTTAGAGACTTATTTTTCTCGTTTTGTTCTTTTTTTCTTTTGGTTTTGGTTACTGCCTTGGCCTTTCTTGGTGGATACGCCGCACGGCTGATCATCTAGGCACGCACCCTTTGAAAGTGTTGGCGGATAAAAGAAGTAAATGATGGAGAATTAGATTTAACCTGCCAATCAATCATCTCTTCCTCGCTTCGGTGGTAGGAGCGTTAACACGTCTGATATAATCCAAAGGGGTAGAGGTAAGTAGCGAATTAACTTGAGTTAACCTAGCTCAATGTATGCCTCATAGGTTGCTCATAATACACTGAACAAATTGGTCCCTGAAGAAGACTCGTGCTTGTATCTTGTAGCATTGACAAAAGAAGATTAAATAAGTCGATCCTGTAAGCTTCGAAGAGGAATCAGTGAAGGTCTACTGGATAGGCTGTTGTTTTACTTATTGCTGAGTATTTACGAGAAGCAATAAATTTAAAAAACATCAATTATATTATAATAACTACTACGTAAACTAGAACTTTCGACTCGAATGATATAAATTCAAGCAATATTCGAATTGGCCTGTTATTGCAGTAGGAAAATAGCTACAATTTAAAGGTGTAGCGACGTATAAAGTTGTATAGTGACGTCGCAGTGTTCCGAATACTGCTTCGGTGAATGTACTGCCATCGAATACTGCTTCCGACAGCTGGCTCCCAGCGCAAATTTCAGCTTTAACGGCATTTCCTGATGACCACAAAGCGCGCGCGCGTGCGTATGTTTTTATATTTAAGATTTTATGTATATATATGTATACACTTATATTTTTCACAGGCCATATGTCGCGATTTGAATGTGTATTCATGCGACGATGCGTTTGGTTAGGAACATACGCGCAAACTCCATCGGTTCTAAACGAACTGTTTATTAAAAAAAAATAATAGGGGATTAACGGTCGTACATATTTCCGTGTCGTAATCGTATAAGCTTATGAGCCCGCGATTGGTGTTGACATATAGACTGTTTTGGGGAAGTGGCCTCGGATAACCCAGCGCGCAAGATAGCATAAAAATACATTTTGTATGTCTCCAAAAAAATAAGAGTCCTACCAGCATATAGGCCAGGGTCTATATAAATAGATAACTCAAGTATGAAAAGAGCGATGTGTTAACTAACAACTTCCAAAGCATTGTCATATTGCTGGAGCAGTTCTGCGAATTTCTCAGACATGGGAAAGTGGTGATTATGCTTGATGCAGATTCAAATACAAGGCAAAGACCTATTATGGTGAACTTAGGAGACATGACCCTTATGACCTGCCATGAAACATGTTCAGATAGTTTACTCATGAGCGGTTTGCCCTCCAAGTTTTTTTTGACTATTTGAAGATTTGAGCTAAATCTGCGAAACTGGCAAACACGAATGTGACCACCGATCACGTCTACAGTATCAGTTATTGTGTTTTTGCGTATTTTTATGCTAAGAGAATATACTGTAATACGTACGTATGGAAGAAATATCAAAGAATTAGAGCTAATCAGCTTATTTGGCAGCACTGGCCAGCGATATAAAGTATACAATGGTATAAGTTCTACAGTATCAGTATTCTATTGCTAGCCTTTGTTCCTACTGAAGTGCAGGAATAACGTATTTTCATATAGATCCCAAACCGTCATCGTTCGGGCGAAGTTAATTATTAGACTGCACGTAGCCAGCCGTCAGCTAGTTACCGTCATCTATCAATGCCTAGCAAATTTTTTCATCGTGGAAGCGCCAAGAGAAACAGCTGACGTCTGAACATAATGTACAGACTTATCAATCCTGTCAGGTATCGAAGTACAGTTTACTAGAAGTAAGGTTGTTCATCGAACCCCAAACGGATGTTTACGGAAGTAGTAAGTGAACGTAAAACCGGCAGCCGAGTTATTTTATAAATATGCTTAGGTGGTAACAGTTTTTTTCCCTCTCGTATTTTCTTGGCAAAATCAACTAACAGACAGCCTTATAAAGTAGCGAATGGTACAGATATATGAATTCTTGCCCTTGCGAAAACTTATTAGATTGAAATTTTTTGGGGCAAATACCGCCCCATTGTTGCCATAAAAATATTTAATGGAAAATTTTGTTCAAAACTCATATTTATATTAGATAGAAATCTACCATAGAGTCGGGAAAAGTAGACATGAGGAAAATGGGATCCAGTCTCCTTCGAATGTAGATCATCGTGTAAAAAGCAATACTGTCCAACTGCTTGAGGCCATACTAAATTTGATTACAAATACCGAAGCGAAAACTAGTTTTTAAACTATTGCAATCATAGGCTTATTTGATTAATAGTGCCAGTAAGCAGGGCACAATCGGTGAGCCTGAGCTCTTTGTAAACAGGTACCTTAACTCTTTTTTGAAATGTTATTTGTTCAATCGGAATGATCTTAGTATTTTCGTATACGGTAATAACCTTATTGCTTTCTTCTTTAACCTTTAGTGTAACGGACGTATAGTTTTCAAATTTAGTATTTTTTTTCGCTGTTCTAAAACTAAGTTGAGGAACCGTGAACTTGAGACGCTCATAAAAATTAACGGATGGATTATATAGTTCCAATAATAAGGATACTAAAATTGCACACAAATAAGCTATCCGAGCAGAACAACAAATAAAGCCATCATCATATTTAAACAGTTCAAAGCAGTCCATATAAAAATAGTAACAAAAATCAAGCTAACACAGAAGAAGCCTAAAGCTTTTACGTTATATCATACGCTTGTTCGTACCGTTATTGCAAAGAATTGAAAAGAAGGTTACAGCGGAATACCAAGGGGTAAGTTGGTGGTACTTCTCTAATACCGCGAAACCCGTCACACACAGCTCGACAGCAGGTAGAAAAAAAGCTTACAAACGGGCAATAAACTATTCTAGGTAAAATACAGCGGGCAGACACAGTAGCTACAGGACGAATGACGACCACAAGGAACTAAGGGGCGACGATTTACAAAGCTGATTACGCCCCTGGGAAGAGCTCGGTGACGAACGATCACGAGTTAACCTAGCTGCTGCTGCTAGGAGGCAAACGGATTGCGTGCCTTTCCCGTGCAGGACAGGGCGCGGGAAGGGCACGCAATCCATTTGTAAGAGTGTCCCGCTCCACAAGCAATAAATTTGTGGAGTCGGACATTCTTAACGTCAACCGGTGGATTGGATTTCGCACTTCGGGTGGAATCACAGAGAAGTGAGATTCAGCAGACAATGGACCTTCTATTTGCTCCTGGTGCCATCTCTTCGCAGGTGAATACATATGTGCCCATACGTTTACAGTGCTTAAAAAGAGCTAGTCCTTTTTTAACAAGCTAAAGTACATTGGTAAGTGTATGGACCTTTTTTTTTCTCTAGTTTTTGCTTTATTATGCTGGAAGTATCGTTTAATGAACCTTTACTCTTTATTGAAATGTAAGAATCAGAACGAGATTTTGACTTGATTTGAATATGACTAAAGATTTTTTACAAGCGCTTACTAAAGCTCAAAGGAGCTAATGACTAGGTTAGCACGATTTAACAGATATTGAATGGTCTTCCAAGGTATTTTTGTTCATTTTAACAGATATTTCCGTCTGGAATTATCATCAACTCGAGCCATTATCTCGTAAGCCAATAGCTAACAGAATCCAAAAGTGAAATCGTCAGACTTTCCAGGTTTATTACGTATCAGTGATTGATTATTGACACTGCTCCTTATTTTTCATACCGATAGGCTATTCGGAGACGCTCTCGCTTGCGAACAAAACACTAATCAATCTTGTTTTACTGGCGCGCCATCTTGCACACCTGGATGCAATGCGCTTATTTAAGCACGAACGAAAGCCTGCGAAAATAAGGCAAAGGATTACAATGAACGGGTAATACCAAAAACATTTGCCTGAACAGATGCACCCGCAGGTGTATCTGTTCGAAATAGGAATTTACTGATTCATTGAACAAGTTCATTACGGCTCACGTAAAATAACTGTTTCTTCTCGAGCTAGAGTGTTATTTGAAGAGAACCGAGGATATTTAAACGATAGCAGTAAACAAACTAGACACGACCTCTACACGCGTACCGAGGTGAAATGATATGCCGTTAGTTAATATTACGATAGTGTCTGTCTATAACATGGCGGTTCAGTAAATGTACATTAACATTTCGTCGAAAATCTTTTATAGTAAGCAACCGTTTGCTTTCCGTCCATCTCTATGCAGGTGCATTACCTTGACAAACAAGCAGGTAAATCGAACGCGCAGGTACCATCTAACTTCAGTGACTGGATACATTTCTATGATAAAATGTAACTTAGACCATCTTTTGGAGCATAAAGCGGGATAACATGTCGCCATGCTGGGCTTTACGTTCACTAACTGTTAGCTAAGCACAAACATGGGACCATGGGAAACACGACAGACGCTTCAGATTGGAACATATCATAAGTTTCAACAAGTGTCAACAGGCGACAGGGCATGTCCCCGTGATAGCTTAGTGAGTGTATTGTTTGCATCTTTATCTTACGGACTACGTGCGAATCCAGGCAGAGACGTACTTCGTTTCGTGCTAGCCATTTAGTATATTGCGACACGTAGGCGCAGGTTAATAGTGTTGCGGAAATCTTGTGTGAAAATTGAAACGTGACCCAGAGGATGGGTTGTACATATCGCGAAGAGCATTCGTTCCTTGGAGCATTGCTACTTTGTAATGTCAAAACTTGTTACAAAAGGGACGGACGACGCTGATGAGCTCACCTGAACGTGGCGGTCTCACTTTTGCAATTGCAGGAACTCCTCCCGTATATACCTTTGGATCGTAGTGTCTTTTTATTACAAAAGCGGTATGGCGTCAGGCGGAAAATGTAGAAACCTACGACCCGATTAAGCTGCTGACATCTGGTTGACACATAACGACTCCAATCGCAGGACCTAGTCAAAAATGAAGAATTTTTTAATCACAACCAAGGTATAACTTGTGACTTACCTAATGACCTTAGGCGGTGAAGAGACGTCTTGCGTCGATGATCATATAGCTATTTGTCTTAAAGTGTAGACACAGCGTTAAATAAAGGTCACTTGTACGTATCTTGTATATACGTACAACATAAATTATGTATACGTAATATGCAAGATGTAAGACAAACGTAAATTTTCAACAAACTTCTACCCCATCCTGTATACATAGCAGCTAGAGCAAGCGTGAAGCTATTTTCACTAAATGTATTGTCTTTACAAATTCGAATATACACATTTTTAATATTAATGCATATACTATGAGAGACTTCGCAAACGGATATTTTCGTTACAACGTATCTGGTCAGAAATATAATGTTTGCAGTGGGTACTTAATGACCTCCTTCTAACTAGGCGACAGATTTCTCACGTAAGCTGTTCTAATTGATAACCTAAAATAACCTGAATAAAAACACGACCAAGGCCAAAGGCCCTTGTTTGTGTGTAGCCATTATATATGATTGTATTGCATGTGAGATTTATTTTGCAAAAACACCTGGACACGTAATAATATGTGTCCAAGTAAGTTAGTCGACAGCCAATTTACCGCCAACCACTAGATGACAACCTCTCGTAGCGAAGTTGTTTTTCACGTATGTTTATACAGAATCGAAATATTTTCAAAAATATTTTACAGCGGAAAATTAAACATTGTGCATATAGGATTATTTTTGTTTCCCGCAAGGCGTGACTAATGTGATCGCCCTTTACCAAGAACTCTGGTTCAATATGACAGGCGTTTACAAGAAATGTTAATTATCGTCGTTGCTAGTTTACCGTACCAATTGACCTGCGTGCAGGTCATATTCTAATAATATAGATGAAAACATGAGCCTTTAATGGTAAGTTGTTTGAAAAGGATTGCAAAAAATCACGTTTTTAGGTTCACTCTCTAAAAATAATTAGCCCTCACAAGTAACTTGGAGATAGAGGAAAAATGAAATCTAAGGCGCTGGTATATCAACGTTTTCCAAACTAAGATTATCTCCAAGCTTTCACTTCACGGTGGCAAAATTCATTTGAAAATAATTCTAACCCATATACACTACTAATCACATTACAGCCATAGTTATCCGCAGCTTGGATAAAAAATGCTTTATTTTTCAACAATTCGTACTGTGCCCGGCAAAAACAACGCAAACATTACATATTTAAAGCCAATATCGTGTCTGTGTTATGATATAGCCTCAACTCCATTGTTTGCATCGTAAAGGAGACTGTTACTATATTAAGTTTTAACTTATAGATTTCAGTCTCTCCTATAGTTTTTCAACAAAGCGTCTTCTAGCGAGTTACGTTCCGATTTGCTTCAGCCGAGATCAGAAGTACATTTACATACAGTATACATAACATGATTAGATTTGTACTCGTTGGTAGTTAGTTTCACACAACTTATGATCCGTACATGACTACCGAAATTGTTCCTTCAAAAGCACAACCATCCCCCGCATTCACGCCGCAGAACTGTCCTTTCCTAGATCTGCGCATCTTTGAAGATCGCTATAGATTTCATTGAGCTTTAATAGAGGGAGCCACCTGCTACGCTCTTGTGATTTAAACAATAATTACATTTCAGTTATTAATTTCTAGTGGGATGCTTGTAACTGACTTTATGTATACTTTATATATATTGTCTTTGTTGGATTTTAGATATTCTTCTAATATATACAGTTTACCGCAGTTCACATTCGAAAAAGGCACATGGTGACAGTACGATATCGTTATTATAAGTTAAGAATATTTAATTAAGCATCTAGGTCGAAGATTAGTAGCCTTTCTTAACGTAAGTCTAACGGCGACTACTATGCTTCTGTGACGCTTGCTCTGAAGACAGATATTTTTTCATTAGAAGGTATTTTAGTAAACCAACGATAATTTTTTTTTTTTAGTCCCTTTAGTAAAAAAGACTGTACATCGCATTTGCGTTGTGACGGAGTGAAGGGTAACGATGTGTACCTATATGAACTACTGCGATTTCGTATCGTCTATCTGGCTTTAGTACATAGTCTAGAGATAGTTCAATGATGAAAACAGTATGCTAGGCTTAATTAATGGCCTCATTTTTTTTTTTTTTTACAAATCACAACAAAGTGTCTAGTCAGTAACGTTTGTTGTGCTTAACATGCGAACTTCATGCATTTGTATTACGAAATTAGTTTCACTGCTGTCATAAATCATATAATATGCTGCCTTTAGTCAGTTACTGCGTCTTGATACACAAGAATTTTCATCAACCAGATTCTTCCTAATACGATCGGCAAAGTAGACCACTTAGACTATGTATAAACATCGTAGGAAACGAATCTTCAACAAATCCATGAAAAAAAAATTAATCATGAGCAGGCTTTCGAGCCAAAGTGTACAGTGAAGGCGTTCGCTTGAAGCTCACGTGCATGGCTGCCGCTTTACAACGAGACGACGCTTCCGTTCTTTATTGCGGCAGAATAAGGTGACCCAATAAGCGCTGTATACTAAGTGAAACTTACAATAACGACATCTCACCTCAACATTAGTCAGAAGGAAGACGACTTCTGGACGTAGCATTCAGGTCAAGTTCTCGCAGAAGAGATAGACAATCGCTTTCATTCATTCCGTCAAATTTTTCGAACGAAGCCAATTATAACAACGGCCCCTGGATCGCGGGACTATGGACGATATTGTTTGCCCAGGGATCCCTAAGAACAAACTGGAATCTGTCTAGTTGTTAGCAGAGCCTTGGCCGTGCTGGCCATCATGGCCAAAAGCTGTATCAGAGCAAACAACCGCAAGACTTTCGCTCTCATTGCAAACCTGGACATACGTTCAGATGCCATTAGGGCAAGCCGACAAATCCGCTTTTTTAAGCAAAGGTTCGGAATTGTTATATAGTGTGATTACCGGCAATCAGATCACTCTGTAGCATGTTACAGATACACGGTGACGCTTATTGAACAGCCATATGGTCACATTTAATGGGGGTCTTTCTTGAGGAAGTAACTTCAAGAAGATGAGGCACACTCCATAATCAACCCGATTTCTCAGATTTTACGAAATCGTAAGCGCTTACGATTTCAAGTGTCTCATACTAGTAAAGTATCTAAATTACTACGAATATTAGTAATAAAAGTAAAAAGCAAATAGCTAATAGAAATATTTTGCTATAACGCTAATATTACCATAGACATCTAGATTGATTAATTTAACGCTAAAAACCTGCAAAAAAAATGGAGCCTTCAGAGAGCGCATAAAACGGGGTCATTACAGGTATAGTTGTAGTGGCATCGTCATATGTATAATATATATAAGTTGTGCTTGTTGACAACTGTAGTTTGAAAGGACTCACTGATAGACAATCAGCGTAATTGCGAACCTGATGCGCTGAGCATCAAACAAAAAGCATTATTACAAAGCCCGTCACGGACCAATTTTTGTGGGGTTTAACAAGCAACTTTATTATAAAATGCTTTAGTTATTCTTCTGCGTAGATTAGCCGCTTTTAAGATCAGTCGTCTTTTGTGACTCCCTCATACTCGTCGGTGCGATACTAAATAATTCTATATATAATATAGGTTCTTTATCTGGCAAATTTGCCTTGGATGCATTGAAAGGAAGCTTGAACGAACGACCTCTAATCGTACTTGTGCAGTCACCTCGATTAAGAGTTAGACATGTTTCTGTAATAGTATTATCTAATCCATATAACATCCATACAACCAGTCTCACCTTTAGCGAACCCTATCATCCCGTCATGATCTTTTCCAATTTCACCTACGTATCCTGGGCTACGTGTTTAGATGCTTTTTCAAATACATAGTGCCGGGTTACGTACACGCCCCGACTGTTTCGCCAACATCTGCTGTATGAAAAAATTACTACTATACATAAAATTGAATTTATTTGCACGTAATTCGTGAAAACAAAAACAGAAGTCAATATACGGATTTACTTTACTACACTAACTGCCCTGTAAGAAATGCAGCACCCTAATGTGACAGGCCGTTATTATAAAAATAATCAATGATAAATAAACGTTTTGATTGTAACCTATTTACTGCTGTTCATTGCCTCTCATTTTGTCCTGCTCTAGCGGTAGTTTAATTAGATTACGGAAAGAGCTAAGAAACGCATTTTATCGTTATCATCCGCCACATAGCCAGTATTAACTTCATGAGAAAAATAGTAAAATAGTGTCCTTTAAATTAGATAACAGGATGCTCGTATTGGTCTGTTAACTTGTCCGAAATGGAAGTACTAGTCCTCGAACCAAGAACTAGAAGATCTGTCTCATCTCCAACCTAATACTCGTCACTACAAGCCTAACGTCGTTCCGACCTTTCTGAATCGCTAACTTATTATGATTTACAGAGTATCCCGATCTCGCAGCGCCATATTCGAAGTATCTGGAAACATGTTCAATGGATAACGCCCACATGGTATATGACATTAAATTTGGTGAGAAACTTATGTGAAGGATTGTCAGGTCTCTGACCGTGTGGAAATACCTCGTGATGCCCCCTATGTAATCTATCGACGCGTGCGGCGAGCGAACCTATCCACAAGGTCGACAGATTCGTTCTGGCGCCATTGGACGTCGAAACCGAATGGAGCGGCCTATTTTAAGGGAACCGGCACGTGGTAAAAATAATAGGCGAGAGCATTTTGCTAGTTTATTTAGGACCTTTCCGCGCCATAATAAATCGGTATAGTTTATAATGTGTTGCAGTGCACCGTCTGTGGCCAATAGTTACTATTATTTAGGTTAAGACTTTTCAAATTCTCACGTCAATGAACACTGGTCCCAAGTGAAATAGGAATAAGCTAGCGTGCCTTGTGCGATAAAACAAGCTAACTGTGAAACAAAGCGAAACAATAAAGAAACGTACGTATCTGACTCTTCCCCCTGAGGCGTCTTCCTCGAATACTGCTATCTATCTATCTATCTGAATCTATATTAATAATTTTATTATAACTTACTACATTGAAACAAGAGTACGACTTTTATCTCTAGAAATCCTTGAAGAAAAGAAGATTTATTTGACGTATACGTATCGGATCATCCGGTTTTTATCGTTAACGACTTGATCCTATTCGAGCTGGCTATCATACAATTCCACTAGAACAATCCTGTGACATATCAGAAAATGAGCCATTTTATTCTGACGCATGCGTTTACATGTGTGGTCTCAGACGTATCCACATCGGGTAACATGTAAGCTGTTGACTATTGAATTGTCTAATAAACTATGATAACGTAATAACTTTGAAAAGCTAACCAATCCATGTTGATACACTTGGCAATTTAGCTTGACATCAGTGTGATAGTGGTAATAGGTATCTTTACCAATAAGAATAGTCCTCTATTACGTAACTCAATTTACCAGTATCGTTTAAGACGTCTATATGCTCACCGCACTTTTTCTTGGCACTTCAACAGCAGTTGTGTTCTTTTGTAATTTTTTCTTTGGTGATTTTCAGTTACCATTAACTTGTACTTCTCAAACTTGCTGCATTATCTCCACTGGATTTACTTGATTTTCCATGGCCAATTGGCCAATTTTTAGCTTTTAAATGTATTGATCTAAATCCTTAAATGTATTTCTGAACGTATCAAATAAGATTGGAATGCTATATAGTTCAGTTTTTAACTTTAAGTTTATTATTTTAACTGCATTTGCGAGAATTTGTGACAGTCAGATTCAAAGGACATGATCATTTATACAGTAAAGGTTAATGAGTTAATATTGTTTAGGCCCAGTATGGGTAGCACGTAACGCCCATACAGGGCTACAGAGGAATTTGAACTGATAACTGCTAACTTTTCAACTAAAGATTTTTGTATGCCCCTTAAAAGTTTTACACATTTCATATGGTTGTTTGCCATACCAATACGAAACTGGAATAACATATAGAATTATAAAGGATCCTTAAAGAAAGTATTATGAACAACCTTAACCATTTATCTCTAGAGTACTGAGTATATAAAGGTAAGTGCACTACAGCATCTGTCTCGCATCGAACAAAAACGTAAACAAAGCCGATAAAAGCTAACTACTATTTTAATTCAGCGACACGCGCGGCTAAACATTGTCAAGGGGACTCATCATTGATGCTTGCCTACGTTTGTTCTGAGGGCCCCTATAGCAATTAACGCAGGCTGTCTCGACCCAGCCTTCTAAACAATTTGCGCGCTGTTTTGATGAGCCCACAAAACACGTACCATCTGTTAGCGTCAATTAAGGTGTTCATCATAAACTTATCAAAGTAACAAAAATATCCTTCCGTGCCACAAGTTAGCAAATATCAGAAATTTGCTTACATGGGTACAAACACAGTAAAAAGTAGATAAAATGCTGCGTTATCCACTGCATTATTCATTGATAGCCGCCAGTTATGTAGTACTCGATCCCACTTCCTGTGGCAACAGCATACGTCGTCGATGAACGAAAGGTGCCATTTCTACTTGTTCAAAGCGACAACGTATGAAAATAGAGAAGCGTATGGAAAAATAATTCTATATTTTATTAAAAAAATAAGTAAAATTCATATCGCATATAATAGTATATTTATACATCTATTAGATGAGGAGGCCCCATGTATCTATAGCTGTCTGAGAACAAATATTTTTAATTGGAGTGATTAAAATTAATCTACCTCATTATCGAAGAAATTATTAAAAACATATACCGAGGATAACAGCGTTATTATTTTGGATAGTTTACAGTGATAAAAAAAATTCGCCGCCTCGATGCTGAATCAATGTACCTAAATAAGGAAAAATTTATTTAAGGCAGATTGCTAATCCGTTAAATCATTACATTATTTGGGTTCAGATCGACGCAAGATGGTCTTATGAACAAAAGCAGCTTCGCAACAGTATTCAGATGACCTGACAAAGGCTTATTATCAGGAAACCAAGAGAATTTAACTGGACTGCCAGATCGCGTCATTCAAGCTATGTACTTCATAGAGAAACTGGTGAAGCATAAACGTGGCCGGGCAAAGCAAACTAGTGCTGAAGTCTATCGAAGTTTAACACTAGTTGCCTGCCAAAAATTTGCTGCGTGCAGAGTCAGCCGCTGCTTACCAGTATGGTCTGCATTGTCCTTCTCACAAAGAAGTAGAGAGTCTACACCGTAATGGGTAAGGTAGCCTTTTTCCCAACCTTGTAAACGTGGTGGGCACCTGGTGCTTATAGAACTCGGTGAACAAACGCAAGGTCGCAACAAATCCAGTAACAATTCTGACCAGGTCTTAAGCACCTTTATATGCGATGCGGCTAAATAGTAGGTGATACGTCCATCATAGCTAATCCAATTACGCGCACTGTCTCATAAAGCTACGTTAGATTGCTGGACGCATATGATACAAAGCTTATTACGCACAATCCTACAAGGTGACAAAAACTTTACGCCCACCAATTGAGCAGACGCTTTCTATAAAATCTTCCGAGTAATCCTAATCAACAAGAGTGTAAAGAACCTCAGCACTGGTTAAATTTGAATTCACCTGCGTATATAATTATATATTTTTTTTCGCTAGAGAATAGAGGCAAATACATGTGTAAACTAGGAGATTCAATAGGAAATACTCTTGTTACCAAGAACGTTTTGTCGTTTGCTTTTATTTATAAAAAAAAAAAAAAAAACTGTTCGGTCAGTTCTGCTATGCTCACCCCATATATAAGTTGTGTATTTGATACAGCGTGAATGTGTAGTGAGTGAGCAATACTGCTTAAACTTGTTCGTTTTTCGAGGGCGCCTTTTTGTTTGAAGAGTAACACCGCCTCTACTGAATAAAATGGGTCAATGGATTGTCTCCATTGCTTCCATTCTACATTGAATAAAGGTATTCATCCTAAATATTTGAAAGCTCTAGTTGTTTAGATCTGAAATGCGGCACGGACCAAACACCTGCACGGTAGATACTCAGGATACGCAAAATCAAAAAGGGCCCCGTTCCTAACGTGATCTTCCTAAATTATAGAAATTTCTTACACAACCTACAGCAGCATGCCATGTTTGTTTTTTCCGTCGTTTTTATAATTTTTCGTAATACTCGTCTTTGATGACGAGGCCCGCGTAACGGTAATTTTGTCAAGACTTCGTTATTTAGCTATGAAAAAAAGGTAAAGGGATCGCTGCCTGGATTGTCAATTCCAACCCGCTCGAGAGGATCCTCGAACGGTATTCAATGAGAAGCCCGTTGAAGTCTCGCACACACGTGATTGAATACAATATTCCTGCTTCGATTCGCCATATTCCACAGACGCTGTCCAATCAACAGCAAAAACCGTTCCACAAAAAACGTAATTGCAAATTTGATAAACCATAACATCTATTTACTATTGGATCTGTCTCAAGCACATGTTCCGAGCTAGGTCACTTAGGAGATCCTTGGCCTCAAGTCCAGCTGGGGTCTCGCCACGATTCAGTTGCTCACGAAGAGTGCATAGCCTCGCTATGGTCGCGTAGGAGTACTTTTTAAGGCGATGGGACTCGATTGATTCACAGCTTTTTTCACTCACTGGTGCCCCACGGCTGCGTCAAACTATGCAGATTAACCAAGTAGCAGTCTAAAAAACAGTTAATGCCTTTTGACATCTTATTGATATTTAAATCGTTTATTATACAGTTAGTCATTACTTGCTGGCCGCATGGGGGGGGGGGGGGGGTCTTAACTAAGGGTTCTTTAAAAGTTTTAATTAGATTTTACGTATATACATGCTGAAATCCAAAACAGTTTTTTAGTCCATTTCATAGTGCTTAAAAGTTTGGACATTCATGTAATTTTTTTTTCCTTCAAAACTTTGGCCGCATTCTGAGGCGCACGTTCTATCTAAAGCCTTGATTTTGTATTATTAACCTGCGGGGTTGTCTATAGTCATTTCATACTGATCTGCTTAATTTTGCTCTGATAAAAAAAGAGGACAGTCATATTCGGTAACCGTACAAGGTCAAATAGACTGATAGTGCAAAATGGAAGTCAAAATGTAATTCTCTGTATCCTGAAGCGGTGCAAGTTCAAGTTACTTAAAGCTGTGTTCTGCTGAGGAAGCCGACGTTTCGTAGAGGTACTTGAAACGTTATTAGCATAGTTTTTAACGACACGATTGCTAATAGCCTCGAGTGATTACTCTTGCAATTAATTGTAAAAACACATTTGGAATGAATGGATACTCTCAGAACGATAGCTCTTTTGTACTAGATTATGATACGCCGTTGTAGGATAACGTACTAACTATCGTGAAACACCAATAGATAGATTAATATGTTTTGCAGAAATTTTAAGGTAGGTTTTTTTGCAAAGAAATTTTTATCAGCATACCGAGAGGTGGCGTTTGAGTAGCTCGATATTGTCCAACTTCTTCTTCTTCTTTTTTTTTTTTTTTAACACTAACTGATATCAACGAAAATTATGAAAAAAAAAAAAAAAGATGACAAAGTAGCGAGATCAGCGCCGTCAATGGTTTAACTTTTAACAATTAATTCCGATAACAATTATTGATAAAGACTGTATAGATAAAGATCAACTAACTACTTATTGATTTGATACATCGATATATAGCCGTCATTTTCTATCTATAAGTAGAATATTGTCACGGTTAAAAATTCGGTAACAAATTGGCAACACGCTATTGTTTCGCGATTTGAACGTGTGCCAAACGTATAAATATCGTTATAGTGTAACTGGTCTAGATAGATTTCTTATATTTACGATATATCAGAGAAGCTCTGTCGTCTCATAAGATCAGCCAATACGAGATAAAAGTAGCAGAATTATTCTTAAGACCGATCTCCTTAAATCTGTTCAAATAGCTAGATAAGCCCGCTACAGATAGACGCGTAATTTTCGTTGATGTGTCCTCCTACCGAGGACATTCACACCCTGCTACCAACCTTATCATCCATAGATGACTCTTCATATACCTTGAATAATTAATGGGGTTAGGTCAAATGTAAACTGTGAGCTTATGTCCTAAACGTGTAAGCTAGTACACAGATGAGTGCTTTAAAATTTATCTATCTTGATCCTGTCTACGCTGTTCCAATTACTACTAGATCGTATTCCCGTAATGGTTTTGCAACCTTCGGGATTTCTTTTGTCCACTTTCAGAGCATAACCTTGTTTCAGGTCAGAGGTCAGATTCTTTAATGGAGTGTCTATGGCTTTAACCATTTGCACCTGTCACCTGTTTAGAACACATTTTGGAGCTCTGTTTTATGGCAATAGTAAGCATTCGAATCTTTTTTTTTCGAACTAGCTAAAAGCCAGTTAATATATGCCATCATAAATGTTCCAGCGAAAATAGAAACTGAAAAAAGTGTCTTATATGGCATATTTAAAACTGAGTTTATAGACAATAACACGGTAGTTAAAATGTTACTTTTTTGTATTAATGCGCTCGTATAGGGCAGAAATTTAGGTCTGATTTAGCCATTGAAGACAACACGTATTTTGTTTTAGGCAGATATTTTAGCATTACATTAGTACGTATTTCTCGCGATATCTTAACAAATCGACACTTGCTATGAGAAAACTATACACCTGCATTGCCCGTTACCGCGATCTCCCTACTATCCACAATCATATGTACAATAATTGTCAGCTGAGCAGGTTATAAGGTACCCTAATCGGGTTTTTGTTTTTTAGGCTTCTGACTGCGTTCCAGCTTTACTAACACATTTACTTATGGGAGAATAATTCCTGATCTATGGATCAAGCTATCTGTCTCCACAATGTCGTACAAATTAACTAGAATCGTCTATATACATAACACCGTAGGTAGAATCGGTCATTCAATGGCCACCCAAAGGCCTACTAATAAGAAGACAATCGCTGATGACTCTGCTTGCTCTTGGAAAGATATCACTTGCAGGAATGGTTTGATTTTTGCATTCTATTCACACAGGGTAGAATGGTGACGCTCAAAGCAGTAGCAGCAGCAGCTTCGGGTTGCAAAACAAGCTCGAACTAACACGTTCATTGTGGCGCACGTGTTATAGCCAGCACGACGTTCAATGATGGTGACATTCTATTAGGACGTACGATACGCTCAAAACAGGCCCAGGCCCCTCCCGGGACATGTCAATCGCTTTTCAGTCCATTGTGATTGATTGATGGATGGATCTCACTAACAAGAGATGACTCGCGGTGCTTGATGCCATTGTGCGGCTACATATAATAGACGGTGTGCAAAGTAGGGCAGGGTGACATCGCATATTTTTGTGCGATTTATACCTACGCCGAAGTGATTTTTATCTTGCAAAGTTTTCGTAAGCTTCCGTAATCGGCAAAATGTTCCATTTAGCGGATGACGATATCGAGTATATTGTTCGCCAGCTCGGGTCACCTGTAGGACTAAGTGACCGTCAGAGAGTCGTGCTCGCAAAATCGAAGAACCGAGACTACTATGCACTGAATCCTGCTGACATTTCTACACTTGTGTTTTGTGTACGGAGAATGCATCACCCACTGGGCCGTGTCGCAGTTGTCCATGCGCTAAGAGACATCGCAAACTTAAATAAGGACGCGTTCCTTACCAATCAAAAACCTGGACACTATGGCGAACTCATCGAGATCGTGACAAATCATGGCGAATGTGCCATTGACACGGTAAATTTAATACGCGAACTCGCGTACCATCCCGGATGTCTACTACTAATGATTGAAGCGGATATTCACAAGTTTTTAGCAAAATTGCTTCGACATCCTATTCCTCATGAAGTGACTAATGTAGTTCTTTGGGCTCTCGGGAAGATCTTCAAAAAGTCGTCTGGCTTTCAAGATCTCTATAGGAATATGGTAGAATCAACAGATCTATTCGCAAGGTTTGTAGAGATCTCTGGTGAGCTAGCAGCTCAACACGAGTCATCAGATTTAGAGCCAACAACAACTTTAAATAACTGGGCCCTTTTATTTACAATGGTTATCGACAATGACCAATCCATCGAGATCCTCCGTAGCAGTGTGGACTTCTGGTACGCTTTACAGGTAACTTTCTGATAATCTTTATATGTATGAACGAATAACGTCCGACGTTAGTAGCCACTAACTAAATCGGTCTCTATTCGATTATGTTAAACTTCTAATAACACCAAGTAAATAGGTCGTAGCAAGCAACTTCGTAATGGCGCATGTTAACCAGCATTGCTCGTATTTTACAACGCTAATGCTAAATCAACGGATATAAGTATGTTTAATATGTTTTTACGCCGATTTCACTTCTGTGATTAGATGATCCGTTTCGATATCTATTAGGATCTACGGATGTACGTTCAGCAACGACTGTTTGCGATCAGCCTTGTCATGCAAGCAACTGCAGTAATCTATGTGCCCGTTTAGGGGTCCCACTCATTTGCTGTACAATGACGGATGGTTTAGAGCCGGTTTTGAACTTTTCAGAAGCGCGAATATCCACGACCCGTCACAATACCCCCATTTAACTTTTGCGTTAGGATAAAAATAACCTTACTGTGTGCTTTTCATTTTAGCTCATCTTTCCAATTGTATTCAATCTACAATCGAGAACAATCTTGGAAAGATTACGAACTTGGATAGAAACACAAGATGCACGCATCGGTGCTTGGTTTATGCAGGCCGAGATAATCCAACATATCCTTGTGAGATATCCACTTCGACCCACGAATCTACCGAGCCCAGAAGAAGTGACCGTTCTGCAGATCATCAGCGGTGTTTTAAGATGTTTACAGCCGCCCAAGCATATCGAACAAAACCTTTCCGCTCGGATTAACTTTATCCATATGCTTGCCGACAACGGTATTTATCAAATCTTGAATATGGATCATCCAGCAGAGCTAATGTGGCTGTACCAGAACATCTCTACTCAGCTTCAACGGCTTACGTCGCCATAGCTGTTCCATTAAGGGCCTATAAGAGTCGTTAGTCGTCAAACCGCGAATTGCACAATCGCTTGGTAGACACGGTACCAACTGTATTTATCATGGACACTGTGATATCAAAGGCTACTTGAGAACGCTACAAGCAATTGTAGTTCGACATTATAAATTTATTTGACGATTAATAGAGCAACCGAACCATCAGTGAGCGGCGTAGGACCTTTGTCGTCCTTTGTGCCCTTACAACTATGGATAAATGAGGCGTCATTGTATATCGTTGATATTATGAAGTTCTGAAAATGCACTCGTTCGGTAAATGTTCCTTGCTCTACAGCAAATAGGGAAGTTCTATTTCGGAACTCGAAAATTGGTTACTTTATCAGTATTAACTTGTTCTGCCCCCCATAGTGATCGAATTGAGTTCTTTGTTCATGACGTATCCCATATTTTATTGTGGCTTCTACAAGGCCACTGACTATATATTTATTGTAAGCCTTCGTTTAATTACGTGATTTTACCAAAATTACGGATTTTCCCGTCTTTGAAAACGATAGAATTGGAATGGTTATTGATCATATTCAAAAGGCAATATGTTGTATTATGTTGAGGTGTGATTCCTCGATGCGAGCCCTTCTTAATTAAGACTGTCTATCAGAATTCATTATCGGCGTCGCCGACATATTCGCATCGTGGAAGTACGCAGGGTGGATCGTTGTTAACGAATGCCGACGGACGATTTTAACTTGATCGGGATTTATGCAATGCTTAGGCAATTGAATTGTAGAACCAACTAGCTTTATTAAATTAACAAATAAATGTCATCTGTAAAGCTGTGAGTTAACACTAAAACAACACTAGGACTTTTACGTTTTAGGTTACGTTTTCAGCCCGTCGTGCGTCTCTACTGAAGCTATGCTTGATAGCAGTCCTCAGAAATCAAAGCGTTGATTTCGTATAGTTGTACAACACGCAGCGTCTGGGGGACGTTGGGTTCGCCCGGGCTGGAATGGGCCCTTTAACGCCGTACGTTACGAGCAGGCGTTCATGTACATTATGTTTCCTAGCTTTACTGGAACTTGTAAATGGTTTACTTATCGCACCTGCTGCCTTCGTTTTTTCGTGTAGCATTCTCCATGCCTTCATTTTACCCAGGCACTATCGGTAGCAACTACGCGAATAATAGACAGCTTTCAAACTGTACGGCAAAACGGAGTTTTTAAGTATACTGAAATGAAGCCACATTCTGTGATTTGTGGACGATCTTTATAT